GGAGTTCTTACTTTTTAAAGGCCCTCCACATGAATACACTCCAACAGTGACGCTACAGCTCATCAGAAAGCTATTCATTCAACCACAGGTGTCCCCTGTTCTCTCTGCTTTGTGTAAACTGGTATACACCCAGATCCTGTTAGCTTGCATTAACGCAGAGCAGAAGAGACGGCTCAGGTCTGCTCCTGCATGTGGTGCTGCTCAGACTGGATTCTGGTGTCACCGACACACAGCAGAGCTGACATCACACCAGAGCCTGCAGCGCTCGTATGTGCAGGAACAGTGCATCACATATTACTGTATCATACTGCTGAACTAAAAAACAGAGCAAGTGCTTCCCGAGACCTGCACAAGAAAAACAGAAAGCAGTTTGAAATATTAAGATGGGCTTTCCACCATCAGAAAAGCTTTAGAACAGCAGCGATGTCAACAAACTAGTAACTAAAACACAAAAGTGTCAATTCAAAAATATTCAAAACAATTGTAAATTATAATTTATAGTCCTGGTGGGGGGAAACTGATAGGTTAAAGCTGACTAACCTTGTTGGTGCTGCAGATATCGAGGAGGAAACAAGAAAGGAAGGAAAAGAAGAAGATGGACAGGAGAGGAGGGAAGAGTCCCAAACTGTGGACAGGCTTCCAGAGAGAGCAGGAGGAGGAGGAGGAGGAGGAAGAGGAGGAGGCGGAGTTTGTGGAACTACAGGCGTCTACTGGTCATTTTTCATCTTATACCTGCTGCAAGTCAGCTTCATTTAAACTGGTCTCACTTGGTTTCTGGAGCTTTAGCCTCTCCACACTGTCAGCTGGACGAGTAGCTCCTCGCTGCTCTGCTTGTTGCACGACGACTGGAATGTAAACATCTTACATGTCGGAGCAGCTGCTTCATTCACGCTGCAGCATCAGCTGCTCCAGCACCAGCTGACTGTTTACACTCTGCCTCCTTCACACAGCTAAACCGGATACTTCTTCAGAGCCGCTTCATGCACTGAGCACCCTCTGCTCGCGCTCGCCTCTGTACGAAGCCAAGTTTGGTGTTTGTGTCAGTCAAGCAGCAGATTGTGTGTGTGCTTGCAAAACTGCTGTTCCTAATTTTTACTGGACACATAACGCAGAGTCTACTTTCAACAAACCAACACGTCGCTGTGCTACTAATCTTTTTATTTCTCGCGCAACAGCTCATGCACGGGTGAATCTAAAGCGACACAATTTAAAAATAAATTAACAATCCAAAGAATTCTCTCACTTTTGAGTCTGGAAAGTACTTTCACACACATGCAAGACTATTCACGTGCACAAACGCATGCATTTATCCCCACAGTGTGGACCAGTAAAAAGGCCCCCGTTTCCAAAGGAGCACTCATCACAGTAATTGGACCACAGAGCAGCTCAGTGCTGGTCCCAGTTCATTTGGCACTGCTTAACATGATGACAACCGTCTTTCTCTGGGCGGTCACCATCCTGCAGCTAAAGCCGAGTAATGAGTTTAGACTTTGAACACTAACAAAGTCCACACAAAGGCTGGGTCCACTGAGTGGTCACAAAGGCTGTTTTAACAGCAGCCAAACAGAATGTACAGTCAGAAACAGCCTGCAGCACCACGACGTAATCTGGAATAAACAAGTAATCTACTTCTTATGTTCTTTATAATGAGATGCACAGTTTCGCTTAAATGATACTGAAAGTATTTAGAGTTTCCACCAAGAACAGAAAGATTAATCCAGAGTGTTACCTTGCTGCCTGCTACTCCAGTTTCACTGCATTTTGATTTGTTAGCTATAAAGTTGATCAAAAAACAGTTCGAACTGATGTAAAAGAGAAATATGAGGACAGGACAGAAGAGAGAATAGAACTTTATCATAAAAGTATATATTGTGATGTCAATAATTGGTATTTGGAGAAATTAAGCACAAAAAAAAACAGTAATTCTGGTAAACCCTTGTTGATGATTGACTGAAGTTACTTCCAGCTTGAGATGTAAAATTAATTCAGCTCAGTTTAACAAGTTTAATGCAGTTTCACAACAGAAGTTACTTCAGTTTATTATACAGAGAACAACAAACAAGTCCAAGTCCATAACATATCTGCATGTTTAAGCACATTAATAAGTGAATTGATGATTAGTTAGAGTTCAAGTGTGCACCTCAGAGCACAATATGAAGGTTATACGCAGAGTTCCTGCACACAGCCTCAGAGAAACACTGACCCTTTGTTAACCAATAATCTGAACTGCACGAAACATCAGCCGGACTTTCTCTGACATTAACAGAGAAATGAGAGGATGTGTTTCAGGGATCCTCGTGTTTCTGGTTGCATATACAATTTAGTGGGAAAACTGGAGGACGTCCAAAGTTTACATGAATCTATCGTCTCCATACTGACTGGTCAGCACAGAACAAGAACACTGTGTTGGAAAATATGGCGTTCAGGTTCTTTTGTAAAGAAAAATAATAAAATAAAATCCTGCCTGTACCAGAAACATCTCAACATCATAACTGAACATTAATGACAATTATTCTAAACATTAAAAAACCCCACTATTTTTTGTCTGAACACAACTAAATCAGCCACAATATCCAGAAAACTCTTTTTCAATTCCATTTTACAACAGGCTAATGCAGTGAAAAAGAAACAGCTAAATCCCCCATTTATTTGGTATTTGATGTGCAAAATGTTTGGATGCTAAATAAATTAAGAAATGGCAAGAACAAGCACAGAAAACCAAACAGCTGACTGCACTTACAATAACCTCGATTTGTTAAGAATACCGTATTTTTCGGACGATGAGGTGCAATATCGATGGACTGGTCTGTTTTCATACACAAGGCGCATGAAGCAAAACAAGTTCATTTTGACAGATTTTTGAGCGCCGTGCACCACATCAAATCGGTTCAAGGTCAGTAAGCACAACCAGAATTAATACATAAAGCGCACCAGATTATAAGGCTCACTGGCTATAGTATAGATATATAGTGTTATAGTATAGATATATAGTGTTATAGTATAGATATATAGTGTTATAGTATAGATATATAGTGTTATAATATAGATGTATATAGTGTTATAGTATAGATGTATATAGTGTTATAGT